CCAACATCTCGAAACGGTGCAAGCAATTTGGCACGATTCGTAGAAAGTTGTTCCGTCTTGGATACTCTCGCGAGACAGTTTCCCGTACGTTGACTCGCAAAAATGGTTGCAACCGAAAAAAGTGCAACGCGGTGCGGCCAATCTTTTAAGCGCAGCTAGACGAAACTGTGAACTATGGCTCCGGTAAGTTCGAAAGCAGGCCCTCGTAAGCCGCAAAAGTTTCGACTATAACTTTACGGTAAACGCGTTCCGTTCGCTCTTATCATTTGAATCTACGATTTATCGATTTACCAACGTAACAGTTAACGATTCGCGAGACGTTAGCGGTACAAAATGTCGTACTTATCACCGGGAACGATGTCCATTTGACACGATCGAAAGAAAACATTTCCACAGAAAGATACGCGCTCGAAACTATCCGCTTCGTACCGTCGGTCGCGCTCGCGAGCAACGACTGCCCGACAAACTCGAAATTCGAAGCGCAATTGTCGTTCGGGTTCGAAAGTATGGGTCATTTCGTTTTTCCCGCCGCACGAACGCATCGTTGAACTAACCGATCCGTAAGTGAAAAACTCCTCGACGACAACTTCGATTTTTGGGATTTTGGCCATGATTTCAGGCTTTTGTACCACTGTGCGACGGAGCGAACTAAAAAATATCTGCAGAAAACTAATTGCAGGAAAAACGATCTTCGATCCTAGTCGGATCGATCCGTATCGCGAGCCGAAGCACGGAGCTATTGCTTATTGCCGGCTCGAAGAAAAGCGGCAGCGGAAGAAGCCTCCCTGGAGCCCTCCGCGCGAACTTTCCGACCCTGGCTTTCTCTCGCGCGAAAAGAGGAGTTGTCGGATCCAGTTTCAAGGTTCTGTTCGGCGCCGCGCGCTCTGCTCGAAAACAAAAAATAATAGTTCTCGCTTCACCGCGGAAACGGATTGCCGCGGGAAAACAGGGGATCGCTCTCTCAGGGGGCGAGCCTCGACCGGACGAAAAGGACGCTCCGTTGCGGCGCCCCGTCGCGCGAACGGCTCTCCCAACAGCGGAACACGCTCCTTTCGTTTTTGCTGACCCCGGCTTCCGGTGGGCCGATGCCGATCCGTCTGACGCGCTAATGCGCCCCTAATGCGCCTCTAGCTACGGACTGTACCTCGGGGGAAAAAGACAGCCTTGTTCGCGGCGGCATGCGAATGGTACCTTGACCCTTCGCACTCGCGGGGTCTCCTCCTCCGTGTGTTGGCCACTCGAACGCGTCCACTCGCGAACCAGGGAACGACGATGGAAACGATTGCTCCGTTCGAGCAGGATTTCGGCATCGAGTTGTCGAAGAAACGTGTGTTTCGTCTCAGATAGCCCGCAATTTCCTCGAAACAAAATTCGTAATTTCTAAACTAATGCACTTTCGACTTGAAACTCCTAATATTTCTTTTTAAACGGCACACAGAGACATATCGATTTATGGAAAAGCAAACGCAAATTTTACTAATAAAAAATTAAGATGATCCGAATCTTTTTATTATATATACAGTGTGTTCCACAATTATTTTAACAGCCGAAAATGAGGGGTAGCCGAGGTCATTTGAAGTAACTTTTTCCTTTGCGAAAATGCGATCCGCGGCTTTGTTTACGAGTTATTAACGGAAAACACTGACCAATGAGAGGTGACGGCGCGAAGTTCCAGAGCCCGCAGCACGAGGCTTCGACAGATGGTCGGGACGGACTCGAGCCGCGTTCGAAGTATTGAACAAATCACGAAGCGAGAACTTTCCGGACTTTTTTTTTACTACTTAACATTGATATTTTTAAGAAAAAACGCTGTTCACCTTTACTTTAGAACGTCTAAAGAATATTTACTAAGATTTCGGACCCGAAATAGTAAGTAATTTAACCGTGACGGCCTTTTTAGTTTTCTAGTGTGCATATCAAGGTTATGTCAAGGTTATTGATAATATTCTTCAAGGCTCGGTCGCCTTGCGCCAGCATATCTCGCCTCTCATTGGTCACTCTTTTTCGTTAATAACTCGTAAGCAAAGCCGCGGATCGCATTTTCGCCAAGGACAAACTTCCATCAAATTACCTCGGGAACCTTCCATTCTCGGATTGCGAGACATTCTTGGGACACCATGTATACGTGAACGAAAGGAACGCGACCTCCTCGCGCAGTCCAGCGTCGGTTGGAAGTTGGAACAACGATCCCGTCAGGGCCGTGCTCTTCGAGGAGTCTCGTTATTAGGAATCGCGAACCCGGTGGGATCGTCGATCGGATCGATCTCGTTAGTCCCGGAACCGTACGATCCCGATGGCAACTCGCCGGCAAGATCATTAAAAGTATCTTTCGGATCGAGAGCGAGAACGGGAACGGGGACGGGCGACATCCTCGGCGAACGTCGACTGGAGTGTCCAGTTAGTATAGTACAGTTCGGTCTAACTAGCCAAGTTGTACGGTGCGACGTCGAGCACGTTTTCTACCGTGATATTCGACGATCCCGTTCTGTTGCGGTTTGTTTTTCGAACGAGCGCACCTGAGATTCGACAACAGTCGCGACAGGTAAGTACAGTAATGTCTCTCTAATCGACGCTCGGATTGTCCACAAAAATGGACAATTTCGGAACAGGAGATACGATTGTTCGAGCCTTGCGGCTCGTTTTTATAGTTGTTGACAATTCATGACTATAAAAATGAACCGCAAGGATCGAATTAATCGTATCTCCCCTTCCGAAATTGTTCATTTTCGTGGACAATCCGAGCGTCGATTAGAGAGACATTACCGTATAATCTGAGCGTCAATTGCGGAAAATTTATTATAGGATGCTTACAAACAACGGACAATTTGGGAAGAGAAGACACGATTATTCGAACCTCGCGCCTCGTTTTTATAATTGTCGACAATCGGAAGCTATAAAAACGAGCAGTTTTAATTCTCGCGAGAAACTTATTGGATTCGCGAGAAATATCGAAGTTCTGCCGCGGAGTTAAAGGACTTGTGAAAAGAAATCGTACGACCTTCCAAAGACTTGGGAGACCTGCGAACAAAATTTCATCCCCCGCAACAAATTGTCGAGATAATTATTGCTATTAAAATAGCAGAACCTGGACCGTCGTTTTAGAGTCTGCGACAAACGTTACGAAAGCTTCGAATAAAAAATAGTACGGCCCGGGAAAAGAATTGGGAAGCTTGGGAAAACGTTCTACGGACTAGGTGATAAATTACGGAGCCGTAGGAAAAATTGCGACAACCGGACAAATGGACAATTTGGGAAGAGGAGATACGATTATTGTGAGCCTAGCGGCTCTCGAATAATTAAAATAATTAAAATAATAATTAAAATTNCCGGAACCGTACGATCCCGATGGCAACTCGCCGGCAAGATCATTAAAAGTATCTTTCGGATCGAGAGCGAGAACGGGAACGGGGACGGGCGACATCCTCGGCGAACGTCGACTGGAGTGTCCAGTTAGTATAGTACAGTTCGGTCTAACTAGCCAAGTTGTACGGTGCGACGTCGAGCACGTTTTCTACCGTGATATTCGACGATCCCGTTCTGTTGCGGTTTGTTTTTCGAACGAGCGCACCTGAGATTCGACAACAGTCGCGACAGGTAAGTACAGTAATGTCTCTCTAATCGACGCTCGGATTGTCCACAAAAATGGACAATTTCGGAACAGGAGATACGATTGTTCGAGCCTTGCGGCTCGTTTTTATAGTTGTTGACAATTCATGACTATAAAAATGAACCGCAAGGATCGAATTAATCGTATCTCCCCTTCCGAAATTGTTCATTTTCGTGGACAATCCGAGCGTCGATTAGAGAGACATTACCGTATAATCTGAGCGTCAATTGCGGAAAATTTATTATAGGATGCTTACAAACAACGGACAATTTGGGAAGAGAAGACACGATTATTCGAACCTCGCGCCTCGTTTTTATAATTGTCGACAATCGGAAGCTATAAAAACGAGCAGTTTTAATTCTCGCGAGAAACTTATTGGATTCGCGAGAAATATCGAAGTTCTGCCGCGGAGTTAAAGGACTTGTGAAAAGAAATCGTACGACCTTCCAAAGACTTGGGAGACCTGCGAACAAAATTTCATCCCCCGCAACAAATTGTCGAGATAATTATTGCTATTAAAATAGCAGAACCTGGACCGTCGTTTTAGAGTCTGCGACAAACGTTACGAAAGCTTCGAATAAAAAATAGTACGGCCCGGGAAAAGAATTGGGAAGCTTGGGAAAACGTTCTACGGACTAGGTGATAAATTACGGAGCCGTAGGAAAAATTGCGACAACCGGACAAATGGACAATTTGGGAAGAGGAGATACGATTATTGTGAGCCTAGCGGCTCTCGAATAATTAAAATAATTAAAATAATAATTAAAATTCCTATTTAGATATAGAAAATGCTGTGATCCTTCGAAATTTTTATAACAGACAATGTTAGTTAATTTTGGAAAGGTTTATACGCGCCTATATACGTACATATGTAAATGGCTTATGGATCCGAAGCGATTTAAAACAGTTGATATTGACAGTTTGAAAACAGCCAACGTAACGCCATCTAGCTGCAAACAGGTGAGATTCTTCTAAATGGCTACGCAGTCGCGAAACGAGTCGAGGAATCCCCGATACTGGACGCTGTTCAGCCTGCAGAAACAGGGACTTTCCCGTCTAGGGATATTTTAACGTGATCCAGCGTCGATAGTCCATTTAATCGACTACACAGCCTAATCGAAAGGATTTCATTGAGCACTACGGATCAAATAAAAACGTCGCTCTGGCAGAGAAATTATAAACCTAATCTTATCCGATCGTCGCTCCGACGGAGAAATTATAAAAACCTAACCTTATCCGATCGTCGCTCTTCCTGCCACGATCGTTTTATTAATTACAGTTATTCATAGACAGACTGCTACCGACTACCTTACACATTTTTATGCAAAGTCGAATTACCATCGCGTAATCGAAATTCTGAAACTGAATTCGATCAACCGATTAATTTCTCTAGCAATGATTTTTCGATACATGTACGAATAAAATGAAAACGCTGTTGAATTTATCGCGTTCCCCATAGACGGAGAACATGGTTTTTCATGCGTGTAACTGTGTACCAACGACAGAATAGCTGTGTTGTTTCGTCGTCTCCACGCTCATAACCTATCGCGCGATGAAAACGCCCGAAAGCATAGTTTCCGCGAACGATTCTCCGTTGTTACCATAAATATAATCAGATTTTCCATGCAACTTTATTTTACTCGACTTCCTTTACTCGAAAGGATCTTTCTAATTCACGTTTCAACGAAGAATCATCGGACGCGCCATTGTGTAGGGATTTTCTAATTTGAGAAATCGATAACGAGCAACCTGACATAACCTCGACTCTTTGTTCCAACTGTACGCTCTCTCTTCGATACGCTGTTTTGGTAAAACGCGCTTTACTCGACGCACAACCGATTAACCGCCGCCTTCAAATTCATATTTCCTAAGGTCCTAAGTGAAAACAGAAGATTTCTGTTTCACGAAGAAATATAACAGCGGAAAGAAAGTAAGCTAATTCGAGATATATGAGGATTAAAAGGGAAATTTGTATTGCGATAACGGTTACCTGTTGCTGTTTCGGCGCACAGAGACGGAGAACTTGTAGATCTGTTCCAAGCGCATCGTTTGAACACCGATGGAACAAGATTCGCAAACATTTACACTTGCGTTTCGCTTTACTTTCACTGTTCCCTTTATTTTTGCTAATCCTGTTCGGCGGTATCCCAAGCTCAAAATGATCTCGTGCGCTATCGAAAGTATAGCAAAACCATGAGAGCGTTTACGACGGCGCGGCGGTGCGTGCGTGACCACGCGAACATAGCTGCAACAGCGCTACCTTACTGTACGTTCCATCCGGCGAATGGCGATAGGAGGGAAATTCGAATATGGAATGTAATATTTAGATAATAATCGCATAATTTATAGATATCTATTACTATCCGGGTGCGAGAGCTTAAGCCAAGTGAAGAGACACCGTAATTATTTCTAATAACACATATTCCTTCCTAAGAGAGAGAGAGAGAGAGAGAGAGAGAGAGAGAGAGAGAGTGAGAGTGAGAGTGAGGAAGAGAGCGCGAGAGAGAGCAAGAGAGCGCGAGAGAGAGAGAGCAGAAGAGATCGAGAGAGCGCGGGAGAGAGAGCAGAAGAGAGTAAGAGAGCGCGAGAGAGAGAGCAAAAGAGAGCAAGAGAGAGAGAGAGAGAGAGAAAGTTCTCATGGAAATCGTCGGTGAGATTTTAGTTGGCTAATTAATAAATGCAGGAGAGAGAAATCCAACCCTAAGACCTCCAGGGCAAAAAGGGGAATATTAGCGCCTCGATCGGCCATGAAACAAGACACGCACGCCCGACGAACGGCATATTAGCTGACAGCGTTGCTCGGTCAAGTTACGCGAGCCGATTTTCACAAAATTCCAGTGGAAGTTTATTTTCAGAAAAAAATTTAAGCTACGCGTGAAACAAACTCGAATTGCTCCAACTCGTCGACCAGCCGATTTCTCAAAAGCTGATCAGAGAATCGATGAATCTACGTATAACTTTCGCGAGGCCGAGTCGATTAAACGTTCGAGGTTAAAGCGGAACTTGCAGAAACATTTCACAACGTTTACTCCATAAACAGGAACATTTATTTCGGTAATGCCTTTTCATACAAATCGCCGGTATTCAAGCTGCGTAACAGCCGTTAGTAGTTCGTTTGAAGCGTGATAATGCGTTAGTATCGCGAGTTACGTTGCGCTTTCGTCCTCGTTGTCCTGGAACATACGAAAAGGGAATACATCATTGTTCTCGATCGTCGCGACGCGTTCGAACGTTCGAAACGACATAACCTAGATCGCGGATTTTTATGGAAAATAACAAGTTGCCGTTGACGATGGGCATTTATTTGGAAGAAACGTACTATTCTTTCAATTATTTAAACGAATCGAACCGCGTACAACTTTTCAAACGCAATAACATTTTTAAAACCGGACCAGATGACTTGAATTTTTTTGAAACGGTAGCAGGACTAGTCTACTAGACGATGACTGATGATTTCTCCGATATCGCATTTCCAAAATCTGTGAAAAGTCGCCCGCCTACCTAGCTTTGCTAATAGAAAGAATTCGACCGTTTCTCCGATATCGCATTTCCAAAATCTGAAAAGTCGCCCGCCTACCTAGCTTTGTTAATAGCAAGAATTCGACCGTTTCTCCGATATCGCATTTTCAAAATCTGTCGGTGTCTTCGGGCTCGTCCTCGTCCTCGTCCTCGTCCTCGTCCTTGGCTACGAGATTTCCGCACTCGCACATGTGGTCCTTGAGATAGATCGCGAGATTGGGTAGATCGTGGTTGATCCAGGACACGTTGATGACGAACAGCGGGTTGTCCTGCAGGTGGAGTTCCTGCAAACTGTGCGAACGTTCCGTCGAAAGCTTCTCCAGGCAGTGGATGAAGTTGTTCTTCAACAACAGCCGGCGCAGGGATCTGGCTTGGTTGATCAGGTTCTTGGGGATGGTGACGATCTGGTTGCCGGACAGCTCGAGGGTGTGGAGGGCGGTCATGAAGCCGAACGGTTTGTCGTCGACGATCTTGATCTTGTTCTCGGCCAGGTCGATGGTCTCGAGTCTCATAGCCTGCTTGCAGAAGCTGTCTTTGGTCACGGCCTCGATCAGGTTGCCGCGGAGGTCGAGGATCTTCAATCTTTGTAGCTGGCAGACGTTCGGGACGGTGGTCAGATGGTTCCTGGCCGCGATCAGCCCCTCGAGATTCTTCAACCCTAGCCAGAGAGCTTCGTCGAGGGTCTCGATCTTGTTCGCGGACAGATCCAGGGTCTTCAGACTGTACGAGTCGACGAAAGCGTCGCCGGCGACGTTCCCGATGAGGTTGCGCGACGCGTTCAGCGTCTGCAGATGGGTCATCCCTCCGATGGACAGCGAGGAGGTGCCGCAGCTGTTGGCGCACAGCTCCTCGATCTTGTTCCCGGCGACGACCAGCTCAACGGTGTTGCTCAGGTAACCCTTCTCGATCGTCGAGATCGCGTTGTCGCCCAGGTCGACGATGTTCAGCGTCTTGGGCGCGTTCTTCAGAAAAGCGACCGATTCGATCTTGTTCTTGGACAGGCTCAGCCGGACCAGAAGGGGGGCGAACTTGTTCAGATCGACCCCGAACCGAGTAATACCATCCGACCTCAGGGACAACTCCTCCAGCAGCGGCAAACTATGAACGACCTCATCCAACGCCGAGTTCTTCTCGTCCCGGCGCTTGTTGTGGTCCACTATCAGCTGCCTCAGCTCCTTGTGCGGGCCGATGCGCAGCAGCAGCGGGGTGCTGATGTTGTTCAACGACAGGTTCAGCAGCCGCAGGTTGGGCACCAAGTCGAAAGCACAGCTGGCCACCTCGGTGATCCCGTTGTCGTCCAGGTGCAGCTCCACCACCTTGGTGCTCTTCACCACACCCTCGCCGATCGAAGACAGACCTGTCCGCGACAACCGCAGCTCCACCTCGCCGCGATCGAAGCAGCCATTTACTGGCTCTACTGGAGTCTTTGGCTTCGATATAGGTGGCTTATTCGACTTATTGTAGAATATGTAAGTATTCCCGGGTTCCACGTATCCAGTTGCCAATCGCAGCGCGAACAGCAGCCACGCGGCCGATAGTTTCCAACGGCGGTCGATTTTCATCTGGAACGTACAATGAGACCGGTCGAACAACGAGTTCCGTCGAAATTTTCTCAACATTCCGGATCTCGGATCAACCGTTCGAGTCCCAGGGGGTACTGAAGAAACACCGTCGAAGAATCCCAAACAGCGCAACCGCGCTTTCTACGAACGAGCACGAAAAAACCCGAGCAGCGCGACAGCGCTTGTTTTATTTTACGTCGAGAAACGCCGAGCGGCGCGATAATAATGAATGAAAAATTTGTATTTTGTAACGTATTATCGCATTGTTATAGTATTATTCTACCTATTCTTCGGTAAATCTGAGGCGCGCTTCGACAATCGGTAACGCGCCGTCGGTTGTCCACAATGTTCGAAATGTGCTGGGTTTTCTCGACGTAAAATCTCAACGACGCGATCGCGCTACTCGGGACTCGAACGGTTGAAAAGCCGGAGAATCGCGCTTCGTCGCGAAACCATTTCAGTTTTCCGGAAGTTACTTCCCAGCTGATTTCGAGTCGCGCCACCGTGGTGGCAGATTTCTAATCTGGCTTAGGTAGCTGAAATTAAAGCCGAAAGTGTCCGCTTTAAGATGGAATTGGCCGGATTTAAATAAGAACACCAAAGCCGTAGGAGAAATCAGGGTAAAGTAATTTCTCCCTAATTCGCGCTCGGATCGCGCACGGAAATGGTCGAGTAACGAAGCGCGAAGAACGATCTTGCGGTGGCATCTCGACGGGGCTGTCACCCACGTGTTACGAACCACGCGTTAAATGAATATAACGAAACGTCCATCGTACAAATCGTGAAGCACCGATCGTTGAATAGGAAAAAGAAGAAAAATCCGGACGCGAATTAGGGAGAAATAACTGTTCGTCGATGGCCGACTCGGCGAAAGTTGGTTGGTTGCTTCTCGAATTTGTAGAGTTTCGATTCGACGAATCGATTTAATCGAAGAAAACGTTTCGTTCTGTCGGCAAGCATCCGAAGGTGTTCGCAACTTCCAGAAATACACTTACGGCTCGAATCGGCTTGGAGAACGCAGCGTCGTTGCCTATAGATTCTTCGCGGATTCTCACACTTGGTTTCGTACCGGAACCTTCGAACGACTCAGCACCTTCTGTCCTGCGGCCGCCCCGACGGGGACTCTTTGTAGAGTAGCGATAATTCCAAGGAAATTTAACGCCGGTATGTTCCAGGGCCGTGAACGCTGTTCCAAGGAGCCTCGACGAAGGCGCCTCGACGAAGGGAACCTCGGCGAAAGCGTTATTATATTCGACGGTTGTTTTATTATACAGAGTGTCCCAAACATGTCTCGCAATTCGGAAATGGCGAGTTGCTCGGATCATTTGAAGCAACTTTTTCCTTTACAACAGCGACCAATAAGAATCGAGTACGGCTGACGCGAGGCGGCCCGGCCAACCAGCGCGCGAAGTCCGGTTCCGCTCATTGGCTCGGTCGTCTCGCGCCAGCCGAGCTCGCCTCTCATTGGTCACTGTTTTCGTTGATAACTCGTTAACGGTGCCTAGGAGAAAATTTTTGTAAAGGCAAAAGTTGCTTCGAATGACCCAAGGAACCCGCCACTTTCGGATTGCGAGGCATTTTTAGGGCACCCTGTATTTTATATAATATTATATATATTATTTTTTATATATAACAGAACAAATTTTAATAAATATTTTTTATTATATTTAATAAGCCGTCGCAACGGGTTACCAGAGACATCCAGCTCGCCGAGTTCTCTGTAGTGAAAAATTGAACTTTTCGCATCGACGCAGCATTTCGCTTCGCGCTCGCGAATCTCGCAGTTCGATAGATTCGAAGGATTTTCTTCGGTTTCGGCGATCGGCGAACGATCCTTGACATAACGGCGATTAGACGAATGTTCGTGTCCGATTAGACGAATGCGGGCCGGGGCGCCGATCGCGCCGGCACAGAACTGAAATAGTTGCTGAGATCGAGCATCGTTCCAGGAAGACTATCTCTTTCGGGCTCGAGTTTACAGAGGCATCGGGATCGCTTGTCAGCGTATCTAGTACGAAATGTTCCACTGCGAAAAAAAATGCTCGCTGCCGGAGCACGGAGAGGAAACGAAGAAAATTGCCCAAGCGGTCGCTCGAACGTCGCACCAAGCGCCGACACCAAATTCTCTGTTCTCGCGTTTCTTCGTTTTCTTATTTTCGCAGCCAAAACCGAATTTAACCTGCGACAATTTCTCACGGTTCCGCCGTTTCGACGGGAAGTTATCATACTTTTAGGGGAGCGCGATTTTTCGGGATCGGGACGGGATCTTAACACTTTATCGTCCGGTCGTGGTTGAGGCTGCCACTCAGTAAGGACTGGCTTAGTCGCGCGCGCATTTGCTCCCAGTACCGGCTAAATTTTCGCTATTCATTGTGTTGTGCTTATTCCTTTAGAAATAATAATAAATAATAATAATTATTATAATTATAATTCATAAGGATATGGGGAGGTCAGCATACAGGAGGTCAGCTACTAACAAAACAGTAAAGAAGCGAAAACCGTCGATAGCTAAAAGTCGATTAATAGGCTATCGGTCGATAAGCATTGGCAATCGAAAAGCCGATTAATAGGCTAGCGATCGATAAACATTGGCAATCGAAAAGCCGATAAATAGGCTAGCGGTCGATAAAGTGTTAAAACTCCTCGGGATTCCCGAGAATGTTCGGGAATTTTTCTTGCAATCCCAGGATTCGGAAACGTGTTTCGTTCTCTCGAACGTGGCCGCGGTTTCAGATTTCTTGTTCCCGTCGTCGCGGTTGAGTTCGCACAATTTTTCCGTTTCATTCAACTTGGTTATTTATAACAGGTTGTTGTGCTTTAAAAAAAAGAAAAAAGTGAGATACGCGTGGTTTTATTTTCAATTCTCGTCCGAGCCACCTAATTTCTTTCTCTGCGTGCTTTCTGCAACGTATTTCAAGGCCATCGAGATCGGGCACGTACCACAGTTATGGTATTTCCGGGAAAACGAGGAGTTCCTGAGACGATTCGAAGTAATTTTTTCCTTTAAACAAATTTTCGCCGAGGCATCGTTCACGAGTTATTAACGAAAAACGCTTGACCAATGGGATGCGAGATCAACTGGCGCAAGGCGGCCGGGCCAATCAGCGGAACTGGGCTGCGCGCGCTCGTTGGCTGGGCCGTCTCGCGCCATCCTAGCTCGCCTCTCATTGGTCGGCGTTTTTCGTTAATAATTCGTGAACGATGCCTCGGAGGACATTCTTGTAAAGGAAAAAGTTGCTTCGAATCACCTCAGGAACTCCTCGTTTCCCGGAAATACCATAATTCTGGGACACGCTGTAGATCGATTTTCGGGATCCCACGCTCCTCTACACAGGGTGTCCCAAAAATGTCTCGCAATACGGAAATGTGGGGTAGCCGAGGTCGTTCTAAGTAACTTGTTCCTTTCCTTATCATAAACAATAAAAAAGGAGCGATAATTCTTCCAACAATATCGTGTCCGAATATTAATGCGAGTCACTGTACGTATTTCTGAGGAACGCGCGAGATTTAACTGTTCGCGAATGCATCGATCGTTGCTAAAAATCGAAATTATCCACTCAACGGTCCCCGTGCGTCACGAACAAAATTCGAAACTACAGCCGTCGGTAGACGGAAGCTTCGTCGATTGTGACGTTAAACGAAAGTTCCTTGGTAGAGAGGAACGGCGACACCTCACAGATTAGATTCGAAAGGTTATCTCTGCGACGAAAGACTTGCAACGTTGCCACATATAGTAATGTCTCCCTAATCGACGCTCGGATTGTCCACAAAAATGGACAATTCTGGAAAAGGAGATACGATTGTTCGAGCCTCGTGGCCCGTTTTTTATGGTTATCGATTGTCAACAACTATAAAAACGAGTTGCAAGGCTTGTTATTAACGAAAAAGAATGACCAACGAGGCTGCCGCTACCAAAGATATGAAAGAGCAGCTGGATGAAGATGAAAATCGGGGAACGATTCAACAGAGAGAGAGAGAGAGAGAGAGAGAGAGAGAGAGAGAGAGAGAAAACTGATGCTGACGAAGCGGAATGTAGAGTGGAAAGGAACAATGAAACTGGCGACCATAACTCCGTTTCTTTTAAACATTTAGTACTTACTTGATCGAGTACTAAATGCATTTTTATTAACGGTTAAACATAAAGATTTTACAATGTTTCAAAATACCTAAGAGTAAAAATTTGTCAATGCTTTGATAGTCCAAACAGTTCCAATATACAGTAATATTTCCCTAACTGACGCTCGGATCGTGCAGAAAAATGGACAATTTGGTAAGAGGAGATACCATTGTTCGAGCCTTGCGGCTCGTTTTTATAGTTGTTGACAATTCGTGACTATAAAAATGGAACCGCAAGGCTCGAATAATCGTCTCTCTTCTCTTGAAATTGTCCATTTTTGTAGGCAATACGAGCATCAATTAGAGAGACATTACTGTAGTTCCAATAATGGTACCAATACAGAAATGTCTCCGTAATTGACGCTCAGATTATGCGGAAAAATGAACAATTTGTGAAGAGGGAGATGCGATTATATTACTTATTTTCATAGCTGTTGGCAATTCGTGACTATAAATATGGAACCGCAAGGCCCGAATAATCGTATCTACTCTCCCTAAATTGTCCATTTTCGTGGACAATCCGAGCGTCGTTTAGAGAGACATTACCGTAGTTCAAACAGTTGAAATGTTAAACAGATGGACCGTGGTAGTCGCCGGAATCGAATGAAACTCCTGATCCGTGATCTTCGTTAACGGGTTTTCTTCCAGGTACAGATTCATCAAATTGCCGAAGTCCGCCGTCAATCTTGTGTTCCCGAGGCTCGCGAACCGGTTCGAGGTCAAATTCAACATTTTCAGTTGGTTCAAACCGTTCGCCCAGCCCTCGGGCAGGTATTCCAGCTTGTTTATCGACAAATCGAGCGTCTCGAGCGCCCGAAGCTTCAGGAACGAGGTTTCGGCGATCTCGACGATATTATTGTCTCGAAGGCTCAACAACGTCAAGGAATCCAACCGCATGTCCCCGACGCTTGTTATCTGATTGCGGCTCAAGTGCAACTCGCGTAGTTGCGGCAGATCGTGCAAGTCCGGCGTCTGCGTAATTTTATTGCCACACAAAATCAAAACCTCGAGATTGTTCGCCCTCTGTAGCAGAACGTCGCTTACGTCGTCGAAATTATTGTCAGACGCGTCGAGTATTTTCAAAGCAGAGCGATCTCTGTCGAAGAAAGTGAGCATTTTATACGAAAACATAGAACAGCCCTTAAACGACGCAATTGCGATGTTCGGAGAATGTACTTCGATTTGTTCCAAATTTGTATTGTGGTCCAAGTACAGAGACTGCAGATCGTCATCGCCAGATATTACAAAATGTGTAATTCGATTTCCTTCTAAATGCAAGTGTCGTAGCGTTGCTGGTAGTTTCGTTTTGAATATCCCGATGTCGTTGTATGCCATTCTTAGCGTAGTTAGTCGAGGAAACGAAAGGTCGATTGAGTACCTTTCATCGATGGGATGCATGTTACCATTGTAGTCGCTGGTGGAATAACTATAGTGCCCGTATCTCTCCATACTATCCCTGTATCGATAGGTCTGACGATCCAGAATCAAGGTCTCCAAGCTTGTTGAACTGTAATTGCGCAACATCAAGTCGTCCACTGAAATATAATTCCTCGCCAAATTTAGGCACTTGATATTCGGAAGGCCGTCGAAAATGCTGCCGGGTATATCCCTCAATTCGTTGTTCTGCAGATTAACGGCTTTAATCACCTCGCTTCTAATCATGCGGGGCGGAATCGATTGAAGATTCCAATTTGAGATATCTATAACATCGTTTTCAGAACAGACGGACATACCATCGATCGGAGGAATTTTGTCCGTGTCCGCGTCTGTATTTTTCTCAAAACTGATCAGACGCGATGACACAAATTGTATCATCAGCAACGAGAACAACAAGCTGTCTCGAATCCACGTCATCGTCGAACACCTGGAACAAAGAAATTTTACTTCTAGGACCCGGGAAGTGCTGCAACCGTACCCTGTTGCCTGTATGTACAGTAATTTCTCCCTAATTCGCGCTCCCTAATTCGTCTCGTTTTTACAATTGTTGAATAACGAATTAAATCGTCTTCGCAATCCGACCGCTAATCAGGGAGAGTTTACGGTAATTTTTTAAGAACGACAAAGTCCAGATGCTGAGCCTTGTCTTTCGAATTAACAAATGTTAATGTTTATAACTTAGAATTACAGTTTTATTAAATTAACGTCTTATCAATTTTAGAGACACTACATACCGCAGATAATGTTGATCGACTGTGAACCGTAATTCTTTCTGCAGGCGGAATACGAACGGCAAAGATCTGTATGTTTCGTTTATCAGAACTCGAGTCGCGTCTCGTCGTTCACAGGGGCCTATTATATGCGCGACACACGAACTTAGAATTCGTCGATGTGGATCCCGTGTGTGTTCGACATTATCAGCAATCGCGCGATCAGCGTTTCCATATTTACAACCGATAAACTTTCTCAGTTTTATTTCTTCTATGGGGCTGAATGAGAGAACACACCGCAACAAAACTATATTTCCCAGAAATTTAGGAGTGTCTTATAGTTTTGTTGCGGCGTGTTGCTATACAGTTGCCTGAATTAAATTTTAAGCAACCTATGTTTCGCGCAACATTATCTTTTTTCTTATCCAGACCCATAGAATACAGCGAGAAAGTTTAACAGTTGTACATTTGGACACACCGATCGCGCGATTGCTGATAATATCGTAGGTGCACAGGGTCCATCATGCAGCCTTCTAATGCTAACCCTTCGGATTTCGTAATCTTATATAACATTTGAACATACATTTGGCCATAATCATATTTTGTATAACAGCGTATGCTCGAGCAACATTTTCTTCGAATTCAGGCCTATAGAATACGTATACTGGCGAAGTTTGATACTTTAAATCTCGGACACCCTGTATATCCCTGCAGCAACCGGATGCGACGCGAGATACGATGTCGTCTTTTTTCTTGAAATCAAAGTTCAGTACGGCGCTATTTCTTCGAACTGCGTTCATTGATATCGCTGACGATGAATAGCCGACGAACAGAGCCCCTATTATGCGAAAAAGGTATGGTCGTGGTGTAGCAGGTCGTTGAATTCGTTTCGGCACCAGCTGTAATATCATTAAGTCCAAAATATTTATCGATATTAAACGAACAAAACGACTTCAATTATATCTAACGATAATTTTGTTCCCGAAATTTGTTAATATTATACTTTGTTGAAAACGAACGCCTTTGAACTTCAGAACCCTTCGATTGTTTTTCCTTAAAATAATTCAGTTTTTACGATCTACGATTAGATTATACAAGAACATAACGTTTCCTACACTTAGAACAATTTACTATCTACTTACTCGCATTTCAGTTTTCGCTCGTGATGTAATCGATAATATTATCTTATCGCATTATGCTCAGTAAACGACGATGAAACTGGAAATTGCAATGTAGCTATCAATGACAACAAATACCGAGTTGTGTGCGTGTTCTTGATAGAAGACCAATAACATTCGATGCGACAAAAATGTTGGCTGTATCTTGTAGATAGTTAGCTACCTCTGATCGACAACTTCTCCACGAGCACACCGATCCAAACATGTACCAAATGCGTTTCCTTTTTCTGTGTAGGCTCAGAAAAAAATGAATAAAGAAAAAGATAATTTTGTGCTCCTATATTTTTATTCCAAATAATAGCAAAATTAAACAAAAAATATATTTTAGTCATTGTACAGTGAACTTAGTCCTTCTAACATTTAAAAGAAATTCAAGTGATTTAATCTATCTAGATTTAAAGGGTATATGCTCGTTTTTACAGCATCTTGTATAGGGAGAATTGAAACAAGGGAGAGACAAGGAAGTCTACATNTCTACAGTCCTGTACAGTTTATGTAGACTTCCTTGTCTCTCCCTTGTTTCAATTCTCCCTATACAAGATGCTGTAAAAACGAGCATATACCCTTTAAATCTAGATAGATTAAATCACTTGAATTTCTTTTAAATGTTAGAAGGACTAAGTTCACTGTACAATGACTAAAATATATTTAATATATATAATATATTATATATATTATTATTTATTATATATATATATATATATATATATATATATATATATATATATATATATATATAT